CGTCCCCATTGGCCTGGGACAGCGAACCGCGGCCAGTGGGAGCCGCGATCGGCCGAACCTGCCGACGCGGCAGGCAAACAAACTGGCCCGGCCCGCCAGGATGCTTACCCTGGCGAGCTGCGTTCCAGAGGTTGCTGACCCCTGGCATAGAGAGTACACACAAAAAGTTTGTGGACGATACCAAGCTGGAGGAGTTTCAAGTGCTTTGGGGGATGGGATTAAAATTCAAAATGATCTGGAAAAATGGTCTGAAGTAAATAGGATGAAATTCAATAAGGACAAATGCAAAGTACTCAGTTGCACACATACAAGATGGGAAATGACCGCCTAGGAAGGAGTACTGCGGAAAGGGATCTGGGGGTCGTACTGGATCACAAGCTAAATATGAGTCAACAGTGTAATGCTGTTGCAATAAAAAGCAAACATAATTCTGGGATGTATTAGCAGGAGTATTTTAAGCAACACATGAGAAATAATTCTTCTGCTCTTCTCCGTGCTGATTACGCCTCAACTGGAGTATTATGTCCAGTTGTGGGCGCCACATTTCAGGAAAGATATGGACAAATTGGAGAAAGTCCAGAGAAGAGCAACAAAAATGATTAAAGGTCTAGAAAACATGACCTATGAGGGAAGATTGAAAAAATTGGGTTTGTTTAGTCTGGAGAAGAGAAGACTGAGAGGGGAAATGATAACAGTTTTCAAGTACATAAAAGGTTGTTACACGGAGGAGGGAGAAAAATTGTTGTTGTTAGCCTCTGAGGATAGGACAAGAAGCAATGGGCTTAAATTGCAGCAAGGGCGGTTTAGGTTGGACATTAGGAAAAACTTCCTAATTGTCATAGTGGCTAAGCACTGGAATAAATTGCCTAGGGAGGTTGTGGAATCTCCATCATTTGGGATTTTTAAGAGCAGTTTGGACAAACACCTGTCAGGGATGGTCTAGATAATACTTAGTCCTGCCTTGAGTGTAGGGAACTGGACTAGATGACCTCTCGAGGTCCCTTCCAGTTCTATGATTCTATGAAATGGGCAGTACAGCATAATAGATACTGATGTACATGGCAGTGATTGGAAACTGCTGTTACAGGTTCTTGATATCAAGGTACCTTGTCCTTACATGATGGCCAAAGTTTAAAGCGACACCGTATTGTAAAAATTCCTATGGCCCAAATTTCACCTAATTTAAAAAATTTAATTTGATGGGGGGGGGGGATTATCTTGAGCCTAACTTACTTTGAGGTATAAAGGCATTTTCTGAATACTTACAGTGTTGAGGGTTCCTTCCCCTTCTTCATCCCTTGTTTTGCCATATTTTATATTTCTCAGTGTTGGTCCATGTTAGTGTGGATGTCATGCTTCTGACTGTTCCCAGACGTGTGCTGATCTTTTAAATAATGTTGATGCACAAGCGCATTTTATTTTGACAAATCAAGTGTTTGTTTTTTTAAACAAAAACAACCATGCTAATTTCACTTATCCTCAAATTGTTTCAGTGTTTGTTTCAGAGACAAATTGTTACAGTGTTTGCCAAATTACAAAAATAAAATCAGCACAGGGAGAAAAAAAACTAGTTTTTTGTTTAAAAGAATGTATTCCAAATAATGGAGAGTAAAAATGAAAGAAAGAATCCAGCAGTTACCTGATGGTTATTTTAAAAGCCTACATGTCTTGCCCAGGTTTTTAAATATTTATATGAGTATACAATATATACATTGAAACGTATACACACATAAAATGGGGTGCAAGATGTGGAAAGTTTGACGTACTAATCTGAGAGCAGGGGAATGGCACAACTGTAGCTTAAAAAAAGGTACAGTACTGCCATTTAACAGTGATGCGTAGGAATTGCTGCACTGGGTCAGATGTAAGGCCCCTAATCTAGAATCCTGTCTCTAACAGTGGTCAGTACCAGATGCTTCAGAGGAAGTGCTTGTCAAAGAGACAGTTTTGAAAATTTAACATTTTATCTGTTGACATCATAGAGGGAGTCATTATCATATCACTAAATAGATGAAATACATTTACAACTTTTCAATATGGCAATAAAAAACTAAAATTGGATTTTGTCATAATCTGCAGAAGATTCTTCGCAATGTAAACAGTGAAAGCACATGTAGATTTACTGTGAAGCTGGCTTTAAGAAATATTTAATAAAACCTAATTTTTTAAAAGATGTGTGTACCATCCTAAAGCAAGTAAAGAAATTCAGTGAAGCCCTTTTAAATAAGTGCTTTATAAAGACCACTGATGCAAATCATTCACTTTAGTGGGACAACAAGCATGAAAAAGGCCTGCAGGATCATGCCATAAAGGAATAATATGCTATTTTCCAAAACTATGGAATACACTAAGGCAGGGTTTGGCAACGTTTCAGGAGCGGTGTGCCGAGTCTTCATTCTTTCACTCTAATTTAAGGTTTCGAGTGCCAGTCATATATTTTAACGTTTTTAGATCTCTTTCTATAAGTCTATAATATAACTAAACTATTGTTGTATGTAAAGTAAGTAAGATTTTTAAAATGTTTAAGAAACTTCATTTAAAATTAAATTAAAATGCAGAGCTCCCCGGACCGGTGGCCAGGACCCGGGCAGTGTGAGTGCCACTGAAAATCAGCTCGCGTGCCACCTTCGGCACACGTGTCATAGGTTGCCTACCCCTGCACTAAGGACATACCCTTCTTAGTAGTGTAACCAAAAGAAAAACAAACAAACAGATGTAGACTAGTTTGAAATTGCTGTTTTATTTATAACCTAGAGCTCTTTATTTTTTAAATTGAGACGCTTCTGATGAGGCAGATGGGAAGTCCTGGACCTCAATATTATCTTCTCTAAAAAGGTTTTAGATTTCCATCATTTGTATTTTCCTGTTATATTAGGAACATATTTCCCAATACAGTTGATTTGAATCAATTTACATATACTTTATGGCATTACTAATGTTTCTGCATGGAGATTTAAACTTTGCTATGGATTCCCTCTGTTAACCTTTGATTTTCTGCCACATGTTTAGCTCTTTTAATAAAAAATCTTTTAAACTTTTGATAAGACATTTAGATGATAGTTGTACCTATAGATTTAAACTGGCATGCATGATGAAAATGCTACTTCATTTTCTAACTCTTCTAAAGATAATAAAAGATTTATGTCAAGCATTAAAGTTAGAACATAGTTTTAAAAATATATATGGCATAAAATAAAGTAATGACTAGTTACATTTATTTTAACACAGGTATGAAAACTCTATGGGGTCAGCCAAAAATGTGATAAGTGAGACTGTTGATGTAGCAGAGAGTTATAACATGATGGTAAGTCACTCATGCAATGCAACAGTGTTTTAAGATTTTTCTTTACCAAAAATAAATATTGTGCTTTGTTTGCAACTCTCAGCTCTCCCCCGCCCCCCATTGCCCCTCTTAAGTCAGTGGAAGTGCTCCTGGTGAGAATGCCCACCACTGACAAAAGGACGGTGGGGTAGGGTGGACATCAACCACCACAGTAATTATTGCAGTGGCTGTAAATTGACCTAACATAGGTCTACTTAAGTTTGTAGTATAGATATGTCCTGAGTGCAGAAAGGGAAGGAGGCCCCTTAGTACTGTGTCAAGCAGCCATTTCTCTGTTAAGTTCTCAGTGGTGATAGCACATGGAGAATAGGAGCAGAATGTACAGAGACAGGAGTGTGGGTGATAGTGGATAGAAACAGAGGAGACAGACGGGCTGTAGAGGGAGGAGAGGGATAGGTTCGTTTTTGTGTGTATGTGGTTTTTTTTTTTTTTATGGCTACTACAGCACCCTCCCCTGTTGAACCTGGAATTGAAACCAGAATTCTTGAATCTCAGCATTCCTTTCCTGGAGCAAACAGATATGAAACTTTCTAGTGCAGGGGTTCCCAAACTTGGTTCGCGGCTTGTCCAGGGTAAGCCCCTGGCAGGCTGTGAGACACTTTGTTTACCTGAGCGTCCGCAGCTATGGCTGCTCGCAGCTCCCATTGGCCGGGAACGGCGAACCGTGGACGCTCAGGTAAACCTGTGGACACTCAGGTAAACAAAGTGTCTCACAGCCTGCCAGGGGCTTACCCTGGACAAGCCGCGAACCAAGTTTGGGAACCCCTGCTCTAGTGGCTAGTCTTCAGAAAGGGTAACAGACTACTATTACCAATTACTCAGCTCACATTGTAGAAATCTGGGCTGTGGATTAAAGGTGCCAACACTGCTGATGACCAACATAGGGGTCAATGTGATTCCACGCAGATTTTTCTTTTTAGTTTGCTTTTTAAAAAAATTAGGAAATGACATTTAAAACAATCTACACTAAAGGAACATTCAGGTTGCAAAGTCAAGAACTCAAAAGTCAGTAAATACCAGAATTAAAGTTGCCATACAATTTGAATTTGGAAGGTGTATAATGAATGGGGTTGGGGACTGCAGGTAGAGAAAATATAGTGTCTTGGCTGAAAATTTTATCCCTGCTTCTGCCAGAGAGTTCCTATGCAACGCTTGGCAAATCACTTTAACCAAATTTTTTATAAGTTGCCATTAATTTGATGTTCCTAATTTTCTAGTTGCTGAACTTGAGACACCTGGGACAAGACTTGCAGAAGTGCTGAGTGCTCACAACTGCAATTGAAGTTGACTGGAGCTGTGCTTTGAACTTACTGTAAAAAGTGCTATACAAATGCTAAGTACAGCAAAAAATCAGGCCCTGGGCATCTCAAGTTGGGCATCCAAAATTAGTGGATGTTTTTAGTGTTGTTGTAGCCGTGTTGATCCCAGGATATTAGAGAGACAAGGTGTGCGAGGTAATATCTTTTATTGGACCAACTTCAGCTGGTGAACAAGACACGCTTTTGCGTTTACCCACCACTCTTCTTCAGGTCTGGGATAGGTGGCAGTAAACACCTCTGCCACTATAAGATAAAGGAGAGCTAGTGGGTTATAGATTGTTAGAAAATCATGGACCTAATAAATACACTGAATTTAAGGCTCATTACAACAAAGTTAGGAATTTAAGCTTATCTTTTGAAGGTGTTGTGCAGGTTTCCTTTTAAGTTTTTGTGAGTTTTGGCCTGAATGTCTCTGTGCCTCTATTCTCCATCTGTAAAGTGGGGATAATAATGCCACCTTGTGATAGTGGTGTGAAGACAGATCCATTAATGTCTGTGACCACTCAGGTACTTTGTTGAGAGTACCATAGAAAAGCCCATGAAAAATTTAGTAATTATATATTCAGTTCGGGGTTTGGCTGATGTATGATAAATTGGGCCTTGGGCTCTGCATTGTATGAAGAGGATACAAAAAAATATTGAATAGCTGCCCATTCAATGAACACCATTCCTGCTTTGCATTGAATGAAGCAGAGGTCTTCTGAAAAATATAGTAAGTGATTACGTAATTAAAGTCTTTATCTTAATGTATACTCACAAGGGGGCTAAATCAAGGTTGCGCAGGAAATCTTAATTTTGACATTTCCTAACTTTTTTGAATGCTTGACTTTGTAACCTTAAAATTCTTTTAACATATTTTTTATTTAATTTTACATATATATTAGAAGTATTTTTAAGAGTATCAAACTATACCATAAAATGTTGGCAGTTACATCTGAATCTTGGTAAGATTTTGCCTGCTTTGTCACAAACTACATCGTCGTTTGGTTTGCACTGTAATTGTGCAGAGCTTTAGGGTATTGTCTACGCTTTCAGAGTTACAGCGTCGGCTGTTACAGTGTCGCTCAGAGAGCGCTGAAGGTAAACAGCAGTTGTGTGTTCACACTGTCAGCTGCCTGCGAAATAGCATGTTCACACTTGCGGCATTTGCAGTGGTATTCGGAACGATGCACTCTGGGCAGCGATCCCACAGAGCATCTCTTTCTCTTCTGCCGCTAAGAGTTGTGGGAAGGCGGAGGGAGTCGCAGGGCATCCTGGGTCCTGTCCTAATGCTCTGTGATGCATTGCTTTGCATCCCAGCAATCCCTATGCTTCCGTCTGCATTTGGTGCCATCTTTCAACGGTTTGTGTACTTCACGCTCTGTTTTGCCTCTTCGGTCTGCAGGAATGGATCCTGCACTGTTGACCAATATGCTGCTCGCTCTCACTAACATGTCACGAGTGGCAGTGGAGTTTTTCCTTAAACTACAAAGGCAAGAGCAGTTTGACATTGATCTCGCCACGAGTAGTAGCTACTACACGAGGTTGGTTGGTTGGTTGGTTGCTGACCACAGTGGAACGCCGCTTTTAGACTTGGGAAACAAGCATTGAGTGGTGGGATCACATTGTCATGCACATCTGGGATGACGAGCGGTGGCTGCAGAACTTTCGGATGAGGCAAGCCACATCAGGGGGACTGTGTGATGAGCTTGCCTCAGCTCTGCGGCGCAAGGACACAAGAATGAGAACTGCCCTGCCATTGGAGAAGCATGTGGCAATTGCACTGTGGAAGCTGGCTACTCCAGACTGCTACTGACTGGTTGCTAACCAGTTCAGAGTGGAAAAGTTGACCATTGGATTCGTGTTGATAGAAGTGTTCAGGGCCATTAATTGCATCCTGCTCCGAAAGACCGTGACTCTGGGCAACGTGCATGACGTTGTGGATTGCTTTGCACAAATGGGCTTCCCTAACTACAGAGAGGCGATAGATGGCACACACATTCCAATTCTGGCACCAGACCACCTAGCCACTGAGTACATTAATCGGAAGGGGTATTTCTCAATGGTTCTTCAGGTGCTTGTGGATCATCGGGGGCTTTTCACAGACATTAACACAGGCTGGTCCGGAAAGCTGCATAACGCACGCATCTTTTGGAACACTGGCCTGTTCAGGAAGCTGCAAGCAGGTACTTTCTTCCTGGACCAGAAGATCACCGTAGGGGAAGTTGAAATGCCCATTGTGATCCTGGGAGGTCCTGCCTACCCCTTAGTTGTATGGCTTATGAAGCCATACAGGGGGCACCTTGACAGCAGCAAGGAGTTGTTCAACAACAGACTGAACAAGTGCAGAATGACTGTTGAGTGTGCTTTTGGCTGTTTAAAGGCCTGCTGGCGCTGCCTATATGGTAGGCTGGACCTGTCTGATGACAATATTCCTATGCTTATAGTCGTGTGCTGTACGCTCCATAATATTTGTGAAGAGAAGGGTGAAAGCTTCACTCAGGGCTGGATCGCTGAGGCTCAGCACTTGGAGGCTGAATTTGAACAGCCAGAGACAAGGATTATTAGAGTGGCACAGCGTGGGGCCATAAGGCTGAAAGCCACTAATATTTGTTGCTATGCTTGGAAGTGCAGAGCTTGTAATGCTAGGAGGTGATTGTGTTTGGTGCAGATGATGCACTATGAAGATTTAAGAAAATTGCCGGTTGCTTTGCAGGGCACTGTTTTTTTTCCAGTTAATGGAATAAAGATTGCTTTCAAACCAAAACAATTCTTTTATTAAAAAACAACAACCGGAGGAGGGAGAGAGGCAAAAAAACACATCAGCACTGAGGAGGATGGGGGAAGGGAGGGTCCCAGGAGGAGATGGGGTCCCGGGACGGTTAAAGATTTGTGTATGTCCAGGTATCCTATCCAACCTTCTCCTTTGGAGTACAGTGCGTGGGTACTGAGAGTCCGCAGTGCTATACTGTGACGGGGGAGGAGTGAAATGTAGCGGGTACAGACTGGAGGCAGAAGGTTGATAAGAGTGTGTTGGCAGTGTCTGGGGGGCACATGGGAAAGAATTTTGCAACAGCGGCTGCAGGGGAGGGTGGGCATGGAGCTGCTCGGTTTGCAGTGCTAGTAGCGCCTGGAGCGTGTCCAGTTGACACTCCATAATGTTTAAGAGCCTCTCCATGGCTTCGTCCTGGCACGCCACGTTCTCCTTTCGGTCCCTCTTCATGCTGTCCTGCCACTCCTTCAATTCTAGTTTTTCGGCCACGGAGTACATCATCACATCACGCAGAAAGTCCTCTTTAGTTCTTCGTCTCCGTTTCTAATTCTGTGCAGCCATTCAGCTGGCGATAACAAAGAGGGAGGCTGGGCTCCCAAGGTCTTATCTGTGAAGCCAAAATGCAACATTTTACAGAAGCAGTATTGTTTGCAATACAGAGACCACTGATTCAGTGATTTAAAACACAGCCACTATTCACATACAGTACTTATCACTAACTGGCTGACTCCAGGCAAGCACACAAGAGCCCCAAGACCCCCAAAATAGTGAGTAACCGCAGGGGTAGGGGAAATCAGTGTTCCAGAACCGTACTGTACACTGGGCACGTGGCTCTTGGGGAGAGCCAGCACATTTTCCACAAGCAGTGTTCATTATGGAAGATAGCTCGC